GTCTAGCGTACCTTCTTCTGGGAACCATAGGTTATGGGAAACAGCAGTTTGCATTGGGTCCCTTATGAGCCTGCAAAACTGAGGCTCCACTAGCTTTAAGCAGCTGTTTCAGTACTTTCATATGCTGTTTCTGTTGAGCCAATAACCACTGTCCCATGATGAAGCCCTAGCCTGAACAGTTCCCTCGAACTTGCAAATCCCGAGCGGGCACCAATCACTTACTGCGCAGTCTCTTCACCTTCGTTTTTGAGGGTTCCATCGCAATCCATTGCAGCGTTCCTCATACGGGGCACCACCTGCCGAGTCTGTCCCACAGACTCTGGCCGAGTGACATATGAAAGAAGTATGCTGACACAGGTATTTTGCCTGACAGTGCGACTAGGGGACCGCATGGCTCAGCACCGCCAACAAGAGAGTGCAGCAGCCACCAACAGAGTGCAGCCCACTCTAAGCCAGCCCCGCTTGCATTTGTTTAGTACAGATTTAATGATAAAGGCTTGGAGCAAACACAATATGTGGGTAATAAACATTGTCGACCCCCCGAGTAGAGAGCAGTCCTGTGCATGAATAATCAAAGGTTGATTTCTGGAGACAGGAGTAAACAAATTTATCTAGATAAATTCATTTACATTCCCTTGTTATCTACTCTTTGCTCTCAGGCTCCAGATAAGAGAATCTGGCTGCCTTCAGCCACAATTCGCTTCCTAAGCTTTTGCAAAATCCCTGGCCTTCCAAGAAGGTTTGCATCTTTCCCTATAACTTTTTCTTACAACTTTTCCCACCACCCTGACCAAACTCCTACAGGAGGTAGCAAAAAAGAGACGTATAATGCAGGGAAGAAGGCTGAAAGTGAATGGATAGCAAATGGCTCTGTAGGTGTATTTGTTCATCAGGCATGTATTTGAAAATTTACCATGTGTCAGACACTGTTTTAAGTGCTGGGGAATTCAGAAGAAATAAAACAAATTTCCTCCCTTCATGGAGTTTCCATTCTAAATAAAGGCATAAACATAAGTAAACAAATACCACATGTAAATATATATACATATGTACACATGAAATATATATTACACATATGTATGTACATGTGTATTTATATGAAAGCGATAAAAGCTATAAAAAGGGCATAGAGATTAGAAATTTTCAGAGAAAGTTTCTTTGAGATGACAATAAAATGAGAGAGCAACCTTTGCACATATACTCTGGTGTAATTTTGAGTATCACTGGCTATGCAGAAAACAGTAAAGCAGGAAGATCATTTAGAAGGCTTTTGCAGTAACCCAAAGAAATGATTGAGTTGTAATTTTTTTAATAGCAGTCTTGAAGTACATTTGACATACAATAGACTACTATACATGTTTAAAATATATAATTTTATAAGTTCCGGCATATGTATATTACCTGTGAGACCATAATTACAATTAAGATACTGGAAATATCCATCAAACCCCTCAAATTCCTTGGATCCTTTTCTAATACCTCTCTCTTACCCCTTTTCACCCCAGCCTTCTCTAAGCAAAAGCTTTCTATCAGTACAGATAATGTGCTTTTTCAAAAATTGTATATGAATGGAATTGTACTCTATGGACTCTCTTTTTTTTTTTCCTGGCTTTTTTACTCTGCACAGTTATTTTGATACTCATTCATGTTGTTGTATGAATCAAAAACCCATACCTTGGTATGGCTGAGTAGTATTCCTTCACGTGGATGTACCACAGTTTGTTTATCTATTTACCTGTCAATGAATGTTTGGATTGTTCGCAGTTTGGAGCTGTTACAAATATGGCTGTTACAAACATTCATATACCAGTCTTTATGGATATATGTTTTATTTCTCTTAGGTAAAAACCTGAGAGAAGAATGGCATGGTCATATGATTTGTGTATGTTTAACTTTTTAAAGGCTGCTAAATTATTTTCCAAAGAATGTATTTCCCACCAGCAGTATAGGAGAGCTCTCCTGCCTTTCTTAATTCTTCATTTGCTGAGAATTTTTAACACAAATAAATGTTGGATTCTGTCAAATGCTTTTGTGCACCATTTGAGATGATAAGCTTTTTATTTTTATTTTTTGGTCTGTTAATATAGTGGGTATCATCGATTGAGTTCATAATGTTAAAACAACCTTACCTTCAGTAATACACAATTTGATCATGACTTATTATCTTTATTATATTTCTTAAAATGCTATTAGTAATTTTTACATCTATATTTATGAAGGATAGAGAGTTCCTAGGAGATTCCAGATATTTATAAATTTATCTTTTTAAATAAATTTATAATTTTGTGGACATCCAAGGAATACTGAAAATCTACATAGTTGCCTAAGCCATCAATGTGAGAATACTTCACTGTTGGGCAGCTAATATATCACTGTTGGGCAACTGTGTATTAGTCATACACAGTTGCCTGAAAATTTCCCAGCTACATCACATTTGCATCCCTAGGCAGGATGACTGAGATGACACGTGAACCAGTGTCTAATAACTACTGTCATTTCAAAGAATGGTGAATGTAAACCTGTGTACACAGGTGTTTGTTACTATTAAAAACACATGCAAACATTCATGCAGATAAGTTGATAACCTTTAGCAGTGAGATAAGTTCCCTTCTAATCTTTTGTTTTCCTAGTGAAAATATGATATTAGAGATGTGAGGAGAGATAAGAAATGAAATATATTCAACTAGGATTCTGGAAAATTAACTGATTATAGAAACCTCGTATTGACAAACTTAGGCTACATTTGAGATTTGTGAGGTCCTCATTTACAATTGAATTAAAAGCTAGATTGTTAACTCATGCTGCTCTTTTGATAGGTACTCATAAGAGTGGGTTTATTCTTTGAAGTTCCTTTAGCTCTTTAGTCATTTAAATGTCATTGATTTTTTACATCTTGCCTTATTTTCTTACCTTTTTTTAATACTTAAATTTATCTTAAAAGTGATACTATTTTCCCCTCTAGAATTTTAAAACTTTGTAAATTATAAAGAATTGCTTAGAAATTATGTCTTTCATTTTATTAGCTGTATTGAGTGGCCTTTTTGATGCTAAACGATATCTAATTGCATCTCTGCTCTTTGAAAACATAGGGCTGCTATACTTTAGTGTCTGAAGTCTACATTAATGACAATATCTCCTGACCATAATTCTAAGAACATGATTTCAGTGGATAGTAATTCACCACATTTTTTATCTAAATATATAACCTCTTTCTTTTCTAACATTGGTTGGGGATAATCTCAATAACATTTTAAATACTCAGCTGGCATAATTACACTTCTATTTTAACAAATTTTCAGTTTATTCTTAAATTCTTAGGGTATAATTACTTTTTTCAGGTTCTATGTACCTTAGCTTTTCCTAAATAACATTCTGAGCTCTATAAACATGGTATGGATTTATCTGGTTTAAAAAAATAGTGATATAAAAGCAAAGACTACTCTGTATTTTTTAATTGACAATAATAGTACATATTCATGGGATATATAGTGATGTTTTAATACATATAATGCAAGCAAATACCCTGATCTAGTCACTATACTGTGTATTTTTTATATGCAGTTGGTAAAACAATGATTTTCAGCCCTGATTCTACATCAGAATTGCCTTTGACACTTTTTATAAACATATTTTTGCAGATTTTGTTTCTGAACAGTATGTTTTGATGGACCTAGGTGGGGCTGAAGTATCTGAATTTTTAAAAACTACACAGGTATTCTGATTTGCAGCCAGAATTAAGAATGGCTAGCTTAAACTTTTTTTGCTTGACCCCTCCTGGCTCCATGAGACTCAGCAATACATCTAAAAAGAAAAAAATCAACTTCCTTACTCCTAAACTTAACTATAATCAAACCTGGACTGCATCTGCCAGTTTTTGTGCAGTGCACACAGTTGCCAGCCTAAAACAATATATAGCAAGTTCTTAGGACTGTTACTCAGGAAATGCCCAAGATATATATGCTTGGCCCCTATGTGTCCTAGGAGCTGCAGGCAGAGAATTATTGCACAATTGCAAAATAATTGGTGTCACAAGGCAAGTAGTAATCATAATGAACCTTTTCATGTCTGTTAGTTCATGATGAATAAAAAACTGTCTGATTTAAGATCCTCTACCTTCCTTCTATCATTATTCCAGACCTTTGAAATATTTGCTGGCAAGTATATCCTTTTAGAAAGCTACTATACAATGAATCCTCATATCTTTCCTATTTCAACTGCATTTTTTTTCCTATCCCTGAATAAATTTGCTGGGATTTTTATTTTCCACATCGGAAAATAAGACATAAATTCCTGACATTCTAAAATTAACACAGCCTTTTTTAAAAATCTAAAATTAATTTTAAGTAGTTTATTATCATTTAAAAGAGGTGGGTCACTGCATCTTAAGTAATATTATTATCATTATTTTCCATTATACTCTCATTCTAGCCACAGTCACAAAAATTTTAAAAAATCGAATGCCAAAGTTTTTTTCAGTCTCTTTGCCCCTGTTCCACCATGATGCATATTTGTTGTAACACTAGAAATAATTCTAAAAATCCTGATGATTCATTTCACTTGTAGAGTTGAGCTATACCTTTTGAGTGAATTTCTTAGCTATGAGATTAAGCAAATGGAAGCAAGCTTTAGTATAGTAAAATACAATGAAGGAAGGTAATAAAATTTTTTTCATTACCTTTATCTCTTATGTCTCAACTCTTCAAAAATCCATTCAAATAGTTTTTTCATGCCATGTATGTATTTTCTGTCTTTACATGCTTTAAGTAAATTTGTGTTTAGCATTGGTTTTAAGTTATAACAAGTTAAATTACAAGAACTTTAAGGAAGAAGCAGGACCTGTTGCCTGCTTTTGCATTTGTCTAGTGGGTTTCTGAAAATACGTCTTCTCATTAGTTACATTGAATACTTGTTTATATATCGAATACATTGAATCATTTCATTGAGTATATTGAATATATCAGTTGTATACTTGCCAACACATGATTGTTTTAAAATTTTAGATGATATTGGTGCCCATATGAATGTAGGAAGAACTTATAAAAATTTAAATAGAACCAAAGAAGCTGAAGAATCTTACATGATGGCTAAATCACTGATGCCTCAAGTAAGTTGCCATAATTTATCTGTTGTGTCATATCTATTAGATGTCCATGTTGAATAGAATTATCTAGAAGGAAAATTTTTATCTTTTCTTCAGTTGATATAAAAGTAAAGTGTGTAATGAATCATCTATTCCTATAAGTTTTAGAAAGAATTACATTCTTCTAGCTCACTTAATGTAATTTTTTTTTTTTTTTTTTTTTTTTTTTGGAGATGGAGTCTTGCCGTATTGCCCAGGCTGGAGTGCAGTGGCGCGATCTCAGCTCACTGCAACCTCCACCTCCCGGGTTTAAGCAATTCTTCTGCCTCAGCCTCCCAAGTAGCTGGGACTACAGGTGTATGCCACCACACCCGGCTAATTTTTGTATTTTTAGTAGAGACGGGGTTTCACCATATTGGACAGGCTGATCTCAAACTCCTGACCTCGTGATCCACCCACATTGGCCTCCCAAAGTGCTGGGATTACAGGCATGAGCCACCATGCCCAGCCGTAGCTCACTTAATTTTAAAAATTGTTTTTACACAGTCCATTTGTAAACACTAAATTCATAAAGTATGAATTTTAGATATTCTTGATTATGAGTTATCAGCGAGTTATATGACTTTAAATAAATATTTTATGTATATTAAGCATACTATTCGACATTATTCCTATCAAAAAATAAATAAAAGTGATAAAATTAATAGATACATCTCTTGCTATATTATGTCTATCAGTTGTTATAATGATACAAGATTCATTAAATATAACATAGTATCAAAATTGGAAGATCTGACCCTGTGTCAATTTTCATGTTATCAGCAAAATATTTTTGGGTTGTGACCATAGGGTAATTTATTCCAGAATACTGAGGACTCACTTATCTGGTGAAGTTTGGAAATTAAACACTCTGATTATTAAGTTAAGGTTCTTATAATATATAGTATATATGGATCCAGACTTCCAGTGAATACAATAAAAATTAGACATGATAAAAACCAATAACAAATACAATTTAACTGTTATAGTTAAGGATTAAAATAATCCTTAAAATGTCATACAGTTCAACTTTAAACCCTGTCACTATTAATATGACTATAAATATTATCACAATTGAGAAAACTTCAGCCCAGCTTAAGCAATTTTTTCTGAGGAAATAAGACTGTGCTGCTAATGTTACCACTTTACTAAAAATAAATAATAAAAATGTAAAAGAAAACACACAAAAATGTAAATAAATATATTTTACTTATAGTATCCTGAAAAATGTAATTAAATAACACTTTGTGCCATTAAGGATATATTTTTTCGTTCATGCCACCTCAGTGGATTATTGTTAGCTTTTTATTTGTATCTATCTTTTTCTGAAGTCAAACAAATCAGAACTTATAGAAGTCAAGCTCTCTGAGGTTTGATCAAAACAGGAATAGAACCCCGATCTCTCAGGCCAGTGTATTTTTTACACTATGTTCTGTGTTATTTTGAATTAGCCAATAGGAATATGTACTTTTGATTTTTGATACTGAAATATCAAATCATGAAAATGCCTTTTCTTCTAAACAGATTATTCCTGGTAAAAAATATGCAGCCAGAATTGCCCCTAACCACCTAAATGTTTATATCAATCTGGCTAACCTGATCCGAGCAAACGAGTCCCGACTGGAAGAAGCAGATCAGCTGTACCGTCAAGCAATAAGCATGAGGCCCGACTTCAAGCAGGCTTACATTAGCAGGTATCCCAGTTCAACTTAAAGCTATCATTATGGAATATTGAAACTGCATCTCCATGTATATTTTCAATGAATTGGCTTTTTTTGGGAAAAAAAATATATTTTTAATAATCTTAGCAACCAAGTGCATAGAAGGGCATAACTTTTTAGACTGACAGTCAGATTTTATTGATTTGAAATTAACAAGGGGAATCCCTAACTTGCAATAGCCAACTTAGGTTTTGTATTAAGAAAAGGGTAGAAGCAGCTCTATCTTAGTTTCATTTTCTTCCCATCACCAAAATTGTTCTCTTCCTATTTAAATTAAAACTTGAAACTTACATTTTATAGTAGTTACTTCTAATATCAAACTCTCAGGAACTTTCTGGGGTTTTAGAATTGATTGGTCATTGATGCCTTTGACACAAAGAAAACATCTTGGTTCTCAGCAAAAAAAAAGTTTTCTGGTACTACATGTTAAAACTTCATTTATTTTCTTATGTATGTGTTATCACTTGTATTACTTTTGAGGAAAAAATGTTTTTAAACTTTGTTTTGTAGCCTGGTCCAGAAAACTAATAGTAATTCATAGCATTTTTTCTGTGGGGAAAGTACATTCTGAATTTAAGTTTTTGAGATAAAATCCGTTTGTAAGTTGGGGTTGTCTTTGTTCCGCCGTGCCCAGTACTTATTGAAGCCCATTGAGTTTAGCAGGGCTGTATCTCTAAATAACACCTGTCATGTATTAATCCGTAAAGAACTATTCAACAGTCTCTACGTTAAAAAAATAATGATTTGGACAAACATTCATTCTAGAAGTGGTTTTAATGAGAATATTAATTGTTGTTCCTTTTATTCCTGTGCTGATACTATAGGAAAGAGTAGTATTATAAGAACAACTCTCATATCACTACTTAAATATGATTTGTACATATGTAAAAATAATTATTTAAGCAAAATTACTTTTTAAAATTTTCTAACGGAAAATAGAACCACACTAGAAAGATTTATACAGTGGTTTCTTAACTGGTCCTCAATTCTAAGTGTGTTTCTCAAAGTTATCTATAGGTCAGACTCATCCCTCCCACTCTTCCTGATCAGCTTTTTTTAGTCCTTTTTCTGTTTGTTTGTTTGTTTGTTACAGAGTCTCGCTTTGTCAGCCAGGATGGAGTGCAGTTGTGTGATCTCGGCTTACTGCTACCTCTGCCTCCTGGGTTCAAGTAATTCTTGTGCCTCAGCCTCCCTAGTAGCTGGGACTACAGGCACGTGCCACCATGCCTGGCAAATTTCTGTATTTAGTAGACACAGAGTTTTGCCATGTTGGGCAGCTGGTCTCGAACTCCTGATCTCAAGTGATCCACCCACCTCAGCCTCCCAAAGTGTTGGGATTACAGGCACGAGCCACCATGTCCAGCTTTTTTTTTTTTTTTTTTTTAAGAATGGTCATATTATGAGAAGACATTGATGAGGACTAAATTAATATAAGAAGGGGTTACAGATTTTGAATATTTTGGTTTTTTGCACAGTGAGCCTTCTATTATAGATTCAAATATTGGAATTTCTCTTACCACTACTATATGTCATTTTTTTCTTCTAATGCTATTACTTTTTGTCACCTGACAAATTCATTAATCTCTTACTCTGGCTAGCTGTCCTTTTTCTGATGCAGTTTAGTCTGTCTCCTTTTAAGATAAATTCAAAGAATCTATTTTCTCTGTCCTCCTTCTTGGATTCCTCCTGATAGGTTGCCCTCTGAAATCAGGCATAATTTTTTTCTTCTTAAATAATATTTGAAAATATATCAAGCCAAATATACTGAACTAAGGAGTTCAGATTTGAGGACAGTTTCAAAGAGTTGTTTTTGAAAGAGTTTTTTAAGACTCTGAGTTAAAAGGAAAAAAAAAGCTGTATATGGAAAGGCTTAAAACTTGGCAAAAATTGTATCTACAAACTGAGATGGTAATGTTGTAAGTAAAGCTTGTGTTTGATTTTTCCACAGAGGAGAATTGCTTTTAAAAATGAATAAACCTCTTAAAGCAAAGGAAGCATATCTTAAAGCACTAGAGCTGGACAGAAATAATGCAGATCTTTGGTACAACTTGGCAATTGTATATATTGAACTTAAAGAACCAAATGAAGCCCTAAAAAACTTTAATCGTGCTCTGGAACTAAATCCAAAGCATAAACTAGCATTATTCAACTCTGCTATACTAATGCAAGAATCAGGTATGTTTTCTCAAAATATTTCTATGTTTAAACAAATTGTAGTTTATAATATAATAAAAACCTTATTTTAACTTTATTACCCATAGCAAACACTTTATGTGTTGACAGTTTATAGCAATACTGTGCTTAGATGATTTATAGAAAGAATATTTAAAATACTTGAAGTAAACTATTTTCAAGTAATATGCATTCTAACATATGATAATACTGATTTTTAATTCTTTTGGCATATGTTAAGACTAATTTTTAAGACAGTCTATTAAGCAACATTAACGATTTTGTATTTTATATACACAAATATGTAACTTATTTTATATATAAACTCTCCAAATAATGTGAACTTGTGAAATTTTTTACATAATTAGCTGTGAGGAGCTGAGAGTGTATATTTTCAAAAATAGCGTTTTATTTTCTTTTGATTCATAAGAGCAAATACTTTTGGCGCCATTTTATATCCAATTTTACTACGTTTTCTGAGATATTATTGTAATTTTTTATATTTCCTATAATTTAGTAAAACTGAATTACTAACCACAGTAAATCTGGATCCTTCATCCATATTTTATATAGGAATTTCAGTTCTGCCTCATAAGGTAGTGTATATGATTTATAATCTTTTTAATTTCTAAATTAGAAAAAATCTCTTTATTATAATGTTTAGTTATTTCTTAGATACATTTCTTAAAACTTTTGTAAAATATGAAAGAATCATAAAGTCATAGTATTTTAGCACTAAAGAGGACCTCTGAGTTCGCATTTGCCAGTCTTCTATTTAATAAAGACCAAATAGATTTTACGACTCCCAAAGTCATACGACTAAGTAGCTAATCCAAGATAAGAACTGAAGTCTCCTGATTTATTTTCAAATGTTCTTTATCCATCATGCTGCCAAATAAAAGAATAGAGAGAAATCTTTATGCCTGGTGTACAAAAAAGTATAAATTTATAGAAAAGCTAATATTTTTGTAAGGTTATCTACCTTGATAATCATGAAAGATGCTCATTATTTGACACAAGATTGTACTATAAGGTTTGTAATTATAGAACTTGAAGTTTTTTGGGGTTTTTTGGCAATAGAAATTATCTCAGTGGAGATTTGTTTCCTGCCAGGCAGTGGCTGATGCCACTTTGGGAGGCCAAGTGGGAGGATCACTAGAGGCCAAGAGTTTGAGAATAGCCTGGGCAACATAGTAAAACTCTGTCTCCACAAAAAATTTTAAAATCAGCAGGGACTGATGGCACATGCCTATAGTCCCAGCCACTCAGGAAGCCAAGGTGGGAGGATTGCTTGAGCCCAGGAATTTGAGGTTACAGTGACCTATGGACACAGCACTGCCCTCCAGCCTGAGTGACATAGTGAGACCTTGTCTCAAAAAAAAAGAAGATACATGTTTCCTAAATCCTAATTTTATAGCCCTATATTTAATGGTATGTTTTTGTCCTCGAAACATTCCTAAAACTTTAAAGTAACATTTTTAAAAATGTGATATAATAATTCTGAAGCTTTTTTCTACCCAGTAATAGTTACTATTTGCTGAACATTTTTTCAGTATATATCATATAATTATTAGAAAACTCAGTTAACCCAAAGAAGTTAAATAACACGTTCAGTGTATAAAGACATAATGTTATCAGAATCAAGATTGAATACATGTCTTTGTTGGCAAATCCCATGCTTCTTTCTCTGAATTCTCTATTTTCCCTCTGCTATTTCCATTTGAATTCTAAATTATAAGAGACATTTCTCTCCTTTTGGTTTCTGAAGCACTCTTACTGCTTTAAAGGAAAAGAAGTAAGCTATCTTTTTACTGTTTCAAATATTTTGCTTTTCCTATGAAGACTTCTAGATTTTGCTTTCTACTTATTTTAACTATGGAAATTAGTTGTTTTGAAGCTGTCTTTTTGTAATCTAAGTATTTGAAAATGGGTTTGTTCCTCACATTTAATTATTTTACTAACAATATATTTTTTCTTTAAAAAAACTTTCTAGGTGAGGTTAAACTCAGACCTGAAGCTAGAAAACGACTTCTGAGCTATATAAATGAAGAGCCACTAGATGCTAATGGCTATTTCAATTTGGGAATGCTTGCCATGGATGACAAAAAGGACAATGAAGCAGAAGTTTGGATGAAGAAAGCCATAAAGTTACAAGCTGACTTCCGAAGTGCTTTGTTTAATCTGGCTCTCCTGTATTCCCAGACTTCAAAGGAATTAAAGGCTTTGCCAATTTTGGAAGAGTTACTCAGATACTACCCTGATCATATCAAGGGCCTCATTTTAAAAGGAGACATTCTGATGAATCAAAAGAAAGATATACTAGGAGCAAAAAAATGTTTTGAAAGGATTTTGGAGATGGATCCAAGCAATGTGCAAGGAAAACACAATCTTTGTGTTGTTTATTTTGAAGAAAAAGACTTATTAAAAGCTGAAAGATGCCTTCTTGAAACATTGGCATTAGCACCACATGAAGAATATATTCAGCGCCATTTGAATATAGTCAGGGATAAGATTTCCTCATCTAGTTTTATACAGCCAATATTCCCAACCAGTAAGATTTCAAGTGTAGAAGGACAGAAAATTCCAACTGAAAGTGTAAAGGAGAGTAGAGGTGAATCCAGACAAACACAAATAGTAAAAACAAATGATAATAAAAGTCAGTCTAAATCCAACAAACAATTAGGAAAAGATAGAGACGAAGAGACCCCCCACAAAACAACAAAAGATATCAAAGAAATTGAGAAGAAAAGAGTTGCTGCTTTAAAAAGACTAGAAGAGATTGAGCGTATTTTAAATGGTGAATAGCACTAATATTTATTGTGACAATGGTATCAAAGAACATCAATCCATATCATGTGATTGCTTTTACTGGGAGCTTTGAAAAAAAGTTCAAGGGTTCCTAATAGCCAATCATGAGCTGCCTTGAAGTAGGATCAAAATAAGATTTTCATTAAAGACCTGTATTATCCCAGGATGTATATTATATATCGCTGTTTTCAGAGTTTGGGTGAATATAGCAGAAATATTACAGTGAAAGTGACAAATGTACAACTTTTATTATAGAAAGAAGGTGTTTCTGGCAGTGTAATCTTTACTGCTCTCAATTAAAAATAATTTTGAGGCCTGAATGATAATCCCTTGAGGACAAATCCAACATATGCTGGTTTATTCTGTTAATTCCCATTTATTCGCCTACTTCATTTTTCTTGCACCTCTTAGAATCTATGAATTGAAAACACTTATCGAACACTTTTTTTAAAGTAATTCTGTTTAATCAAGGGATTTGCACTACAAAAGAATACTGGCTTTTTTTTTATGTTGAATTCCTTAGTTGAGTTTTAGAAGGAATGCTGGATGAAACATTTTAAAATAAGTCATGACATGTTAGCTTGAGAATGTATTTTCATAACTGTATACTTGTTTTTAACTTTAAATGCAGTTTTTAATCAGGTAAAGTTTGACATATAGCTACGTACACACATTTTTAATGGTGCTCATATATACTGTACTTTTTGTTGTTTGATTTTACTTATTGAGAGTGTCACAACATGACTCACATAATCATGATTTTTTTTTACTTTTACTCCCCAAACTATTCATGTTTCTTTAGGTCGTAGTCATTGAGAAGTCCCAGTAACTCTAAACTTTTGAGGTATAACATAGTAAACTTCTCTTTCATCTTTGTGTTAGCTCTCTAGTCTTAACTTGAATTTTAATTTTTCTGTTTCCAAAGTCACAATTTAATTATTCTTAGATACCTTAAGCCACTGAATTCAGTTCTGTTTGACTGAAAGCAAAACAATGTGACAGTTTATTTTCAGACACTAACTTCTTGATATTTTGTTATGGTATATCTTTTTATTACATATTTATTTTGACTACTGAGCTTTCGTAAAATATTTGAAGCTATTTTAATCATCAAGTATGGGAAACAAATTGTTATTGCATTTTCCTATATATGCATATATTATGGTTTAACCAGAATTGTATCATTTTTGGCCTATTGTCTAGCTATAAAAGATAATTAGCCTACTATAGTATTAATAAACTTTTCAGTTGGTTTGGGAAAATTTAAACCTGAAAAATAGGTTAAAAAGTAGTTACAAATTAAACTTACTAATTTAAACCTGATTTTTTTTTCTTGAATTAAAATACATTTTAAATGAGCTTTATAATACCTTAAAAAGTTGGTTCTAATTTAAAATATGAAAGCTCTGGCTATCATCCTGGGATAGTAATTTATAATTAAGTAGTATTTCAAAAACTATATAATTTTTAATTCCTTCGAGATAACTAATTTCTAATTATATGTTTCAAAAACCATATTCCTGTAATTTTTTTAAGAATTGTTTTATAAATAGGCCATAAGATACAAGGTCTGCATTAAAAACCCACTTTTACTAGGTTCCCTAAGGATCTGCCATAGATCTTTTTTTTTTTTTTTTTTTTCCAGGTAGTTTAAAGCAAGCACTGATACCAGTGGGAGTTGGTCTTGATCTAGGAGACTCTGTTAAGCATCCAAACAATGCCTAATTTCAGTTCTTAGGTTATGGGTGTGACTCCAGATAAAAGATGTGGAGAATACCTCATGTACTATGACTTGAAAATGAAATCTTAAAATTCTTATGCTCTCTCCATATATCTTAAGGAAAAGTTTCTGGGTGTGATTTATTTTGCCATAGTATCAAGTGGAGGGTGGTTCAGAAAAGTAAAAGGAAATCTTTTGTGACAGCAGACTATAATAGAAGTTTGAGTAATATTTTAATAAATTTATATAATTATTCAAATGATAAAATGTATTAATGTTATCCAATGATTTATATTAAAAAATTACCTTATTAACACTTAGAACTGTGCCTATTACATAAAAAGTGCTCATATATTTGAATTTTAAATTATTTACTTAAATCAAGACCACCATAAGTAATTCATAATTTAATAATTGTTTTAAATCAGTGGTTTTCAACCCTCACTTCATATTAGAATCATATGAGGACTTTTCATACAGAATCCATCTCATAACAATTAAGTCTAAATTTCTGGAAGATGGAGCCATGCTTGTTTTTTGAGTGGATTCTAATTTGTAGTCAGAGTTGGAGACCACTGCTCTAAATTAATTCAGGGAAATCCTTTTATTTCTCCCATGTTAACGTTTAAAATTCGTAATGTACCCAGTTAAGTTTTAATGGTTTAAATTCCACTAAAGAACATGTTCTTCTAATAATTAGCATTTGTTACATGAAATTTAAGAGCTTAAGTTTCATCAAACTAGCCCTTGTGTAAGATTATTATTTCTTATCTGTAACTTCAAAATAGATGTTTCATTCAAACTATTGAGGTGAGAAAAGGTAATGGATTTTTTTTTTCCTCTGGAGCTGCCTGTTCGGAGAGATGGAGGAGGTGGGCACATATAAGGTCAATTCAGTAACTTATGGTTCAGAGTTCTGATCATATGTAAGTCTGGAAAAGAAAGCTTATCACAGGTTTGTATGCTGGTGAATGGATAGAGTTTTAATTCTCACTGTCTCAAAAGAGAATCAGCTCTCCAGCAGTTCTAGAAAAGCTTTGACAATCCCCAAAGGGCAGTGTTACCTTACTCCTTCACTGCTTCTTAGGAGGTAGAATTAAGTTTCTGGAATTACACCTATATGTTTTCTTATTAACATTCAGAATTGGGAATATTAATTTTTGCAGTGAGTAGTTTTCTGAAATTGGTAACTTGGAGAGTAAAATAATGTATTTTGCTTTTCAATTTTGTGTTTACTTTTATGTAAAAATTTTGGTATGTGAATTACACAGTTCTAATAAAACCTCATGTCTTTTCATTACATCTAATTTGAACTCACAACTTCATGTTACAGAATGCTTCTTTAAAGATGCTTTAATGAAAAGTATTAAGAAAATATATAGATTTGTATGTCAATTTATACTTCAGAAATCCATATATTTGTCATATTTATTTTTTTAGAAACCTCCTAATTGGATAAGTAGATGGTATTTAAAATGAATGCCCAAAAATCTCTTGTATCTTTGTCCAGAAGTTTATCTGTTGGAAGCTGTCAGCCATTCATGTAGAGAGTTTATAAGAAAAGAATTTAAAATTGTATGCATTTTATATTACTATAGTATCTGTGTACCATATTTCTAAATATTCATTATTAAATTGGTACTTCTTAAAAACATAACCTGGCTTGCCTTTTAGTGTTAAAAAAATACAATATTGTATATACAGAAATTTCTTCCTTTATGAAGAAGAGCTGACATGTATCATAATTTATTTGCAGTGATCTGAGAAAGACCTTAAATAAGTTTCTGAGAGTGATACATTTTCAAACATGAGTGACAACAATCAAATTAAGAAAAGGAAACAATTCAGACTTAGAATTTTATAGGAATTTCATTTCTATATCAGCCTGGTATTGCCTCTGGCATAACTTAGAGGAAATTGTTCTACCTATATGTCCTCAGTTTCTTCATCTACAAGTTGGGAAAAACATTTTCCTCTTAAAGTTATGAAGAGGATTTATATATTTATATGATATATTGTATCTATTAATATATTTAAATTGCTTAGAGTTTCTAGCACATAGCACATAATAAATATTAGTTATTAGTATAAACACAAGGCTTAAAGTTTTGGATTTGATCCATATGACTTAATTTGTATTTGTGCTAGTAGCTGTAATGTTAGTGACAGGATAGCAAGCAAACGATTAGAAATCTAATAGTAATGCTTGTTCCTTAGCTATCTATGCTAACAAGTACATAGATGATAGCCTAAAATTAAATCATACTTAATAAATTAAGCTAAAATGCATAACTGAGATACCTTAAAATTGTACTACCTTGTGCTGTTCACTGCCATCGGGGAGGTAGCATAAAACGAAAGATAAAGTCTGAAGACTGGATCCAGGCAAATTCGTGTTCTTTGTAACTCACTTTCTTCATCAACATTTCTGTGACTCAATGGATAGCATATTTCGATCAGGTAGCACGTATAACGTGATGCTTTCATGTTTCTGCCTTAAATAAAATAACCCTCAAAAAACCATTCTACTTTGCCCTTTCTTAGAGACTTGCATGGTCAACATTTTGTTTTATTTCTTGCCTCCTCCATGGTTTAGTTTCAAGTATTGGGACCATACATTGACTAAACAAACTCAAAGTATAAATTATGGGTGAATCTTATTAGCCATATCAAAGGTTAAGTCAAGTAAACCACTTTCTTTGTAAAGTTTCAGGCAGTAGAGTGGGTTTCAGGGATGTGGCGTTTCTCCACCATTCTTCCTTTCTAACTAAATTAGGTCTCAAAAAGCTTTCTAACTGCAAAAAAAATTCTGACCAGGTAACTGTTTTGGATTGGCCCTGACAGGCCAGGTTACTGACCTTTGAGAATTTCAAATTGAGTAACCAGATTGTTAACAGAATCAGATCTGGTTTTAACAGTGATAGGTGTAAAAGTCCTGGGCAGTAGATAGCATGCAAGTTTTTAACATGGTTTCTTTTATGGCTATTTGCTTCCATGATCTATAGTTTTCATTGCAGGCTTCTTTTTCTCTTCCTATCACTTAAATACTAGTGAATACTAGTGTTCTTTTTCCGCTCTTTTTCTCTCTGTGGAGCAGTGGTTTTAGCTTAATGTATTCCAGATCTCTAGCCCAGATTTTCTCCAAGCCCCAAAACTATGAGCCCAATGGTTTACTAAACATATTCTCAGGCATTCATTGCCCTCATCCTCCTCCAAATGTGTGGCCAGTGGATAAAAAGTTTAAGAAAGAAAAAAAAAAAAGTATGTACAACATGAAGCAGGGAAGAGACATAGGGGAGGGAAAGACAAAAGGATTATAAAAGCTTGCCAGTGGTTTACCCACTCAAAACAGTGACAAAGTTTAAAGGCAAATAAGCATGATTATGGGCTGTTAAAACAAATACTACAAAAATACATACTGTACACCTTGTGGCCTGTAATCCCAGTACTTAGGAAGATTGAGGTGGATAGATCACTTGAGGTCAGGAATTCGAGACCAGCCTGGCCAACATGGTGAAACCCCATCTCTACTAAAAATACAAAAATTAGCCAGGCATGGTGGTGCATGCCTGTTGTCCCAGCTACTTGGGAGGCTGACGCAGGAGTATCACTTGAACCTGGGAGGTGGAAGTTGCATTGAGCTGAGATTGCACCACTGCACTCTAGCCTGGGTGACCAAGAGGGACTTCGTCTCAAAGAAAACAGGATCTGTAACTTTTAAACCATCAGAAGAAAATTCTGATGGAATATAATAATGGGAGAGAGAAAAATTTAAAAATGCAGTACTACAGAAGCTGTTAGACTTAATAATATAGCAATAATTACAGTGAATAAATGGGCTAAATCTAACAAAAGTCTCTTGATGTTTATATTTTATGTTTGAATATTTATATATTTAATTATAAATGTGTTATAAAGCAACAATATGCTGTCTCAAAACACACGATATAGAGAATTTAAAGAATAAAAGCATGACAGTCTAACAGGAAATATGAACCAAAAGCAAGCTAGTGTAGGAATTTTAATGCATGACAAGATAGAATTTAAAGCTAAAGGGAAGAAAAGGAATAAGGGAAAAATGTATACTGGTGGAATAATAGAACACGAAGATATGTTTATCATAAATACATATGCCACCTAATGATACAATCTAAAAATAGATCAAGCAACAATAAACAATAGTACAAGACAGCAGATAAATCAAAAAATGTAGCTGGAGATTTTAACAAAACCCTCGAAGAAACTAATGGATCAAGCAGAAAGAAAAATCAGGTGTCCTAATGCTTAATAAATAATGGTAAGTTTTAACTATAAATTTGTATGTAATTTTACAATTGACACAGAGATTATGCCTTATTTCCTAATACATATAGGAGAAGTAGACTAAAGTATTAGACCACAAAAGAAACTTTAGTAAATTCCGGAATACTGTGACCATAATACAACAAAATTAGTAATCAAAAGAGTGGAGGAGAACAACTTCAGGGAGGATATAGTCGGTCATGGCATGCCGAAATTCTCACAGCTACAACTATTTTTTTTTAATACACATCAAAGGACATATTTTAAAATACATTTGAGAGTTACAGCCAAGCACAGTGGCTTACGCCTGTAATTCCAGCACTTTGGGAGGCTGAGGTGGGTGGATCGCTTGAGGTCAGGAGTTCGAGATCAGCCCGGCCAACATGGCGAAACCCTGTCTCTACTAAAAATGCAAAAATTAGCCAGGCGTGGTGGTACCTGCCTGTAGTCCCAGCTGCTCAGGAGGCTGAGACACAAGAATCGCTTGAACCTGTGAGGCGGAGGTTACAGTGAGTCAAGATCACGCCACTGCACTCCAGCTTAGGCAACAGAGTGAGACCCTGTCTCCAAAAATAATAAATAAAATGAAATAAAGTGAAATGTATTAGAGAGCTATGAATAAAAGCAATTATAACCATGAAAATTAAAATCCAGAGGGTAGAGTCCTTCCAAGGAGAGCCATTAACCATTTCCAGGTAATTTCTTCTTCTGGAGCATTTGCAAATTCTGCATATGAAATGAAACTTTGGATTGTCCTGAGCGGAGGAAACTTACCAGGAGAAAGAGAAACTGGCAGAACTTTGGGTAATCACGTGGGAATGGCATTATATATTGAAAACTAGAAGACACCAAACACAAGGCTGGTTCATCCCATGAGATATATAATGAGTTCTCCATTGACACAGGAGATTGTTAGGCTTGACTGTAAAGGTACAGTAAAATCTCCTATATTTTTACCTTGCTATGGTGACAAAATCCTGGGGAGGGGAGCCTGCATCAAACCTAAAACTGATCGCTCTTGTACCCCATATATACATACCTGATTTTGAGTTAGATATCCAAAAATGCAGAAAAATATGACTAATAAGACAAAAAATAGCAGCAGACATACCAATTATCCAAATAAATACTAAATTACCATTACATTGCATTGATGTGGGGAAAAAAAATAGTATTTTAAAAGAGAGGTTTCATTGGCTCACAGTTTTGAAGACTGTATAAGCATGATGCTGGCATCTGCCTGGCTTCTGTGGAGGGCTCGGAGCTTTTACTTATGGTAGAAGGAGAAGCAGGAGCAGGCAAACCACATGGCAAGAGCAGGAGCAATAGGAGTGGGGGAAGTACCATACACTTTTTAAACAACTAAATTTCATGATAACTCACTCACTAGTGAGGATATCACCAAGTGGATGGTGTTAAACCATTAATAAGAAATCCACCTTTGTGGTCCAATCACCTCCCACCAGGCCTACCTCCAACATTACAGATTACAGTTAAACATGAGATTTGGGGGGACAAATATCAAAATTATGTCAATCATCCCTGGCCCCCAAAACTTCATGTTCTTCTCACATTGCTAAATATAATAATGCCTCCCCAATAGTCTGCAAAATCTTAACTCATTCCAGCATTAACTCAAAAGTTCCAGGTCAAGTCTCTTCTACCTATGAGCCTGTAAAATCAAAACAAATTATTTACTTCCAAGATACAGTGGGGATACAGACATTGGGTAAACATTCCCATTCCAAAAGGGAGAAAATGCCCAAAAGAAAGGAGCTACAGGCCCTTCACAAGTGTGAAATCCAGCAGGCCCATCATTAAAACTCTAACATAATGTCCTTTGACTCCGTGTCCTATATCCAGGGCACACTGATATGAGGGGTGGACTCCCAAGACCTTGGTCACCTCTACCCAATGGAGCTTTGCAGGATTTAGCCCACTCCCATGGGTTGAAGTCAAGTGTCTGTGGCTTTTCCAAATGAAGGGTGAAAGCCTCCAGTGGATCAACCATTTTCAGGCCTGGAAGACACTGGTCTTCTTCCTTTCCCACAGTTTCACTAAGCAGGGTCCCAAGTGAAAATTTTGGGTGGGGCCTCCAACCCCACATTTCCACTCTGCACTACCTTAGTAGAAGTTCTCTGTGAGGGCTCCACCCATGCAGCAGGCATCTGCCAGGACCCCGTGGTTTTCCATACTGATGTGGTTTGGCTGGGAGGTAATTGAATCATGGGGGTGAGTCTGTCCTGTGCTGTTCTCATCACAGTGAATACATTTCATGAGATCTAATGATTATATAAGGAGAAGTTCCCCTACACAAGCTCTATTCTCTTGTCTGCCACCACGTGAGATGTGCCTTTCATCTCCCGCCATGATTGTGAGGCCTCCCTAGCCATGTGGAACTATAAGTCCATTAAACCTCTTTCTTTTGTAAATTGCCCAGTCTCAAGTATGTCTTTATCACACTGTTAAAATAGACTAATACAGTAAATTGGTACCAGTAGAGTGGGGTGCTGCTAAAAAGATACCCAAAGATGTGGAAGCAAGTTTGGAACTGGGTAACAGGCAGAGGTTGGAACAGTTTGGAGGGCTCAGAAGATGGGAAAATGTGGGAAAGTTTGGAACTCCCTAGAGGTTTGTTGAATGACTTTGACCAAAATGCTGATAATGATATGAGCAATGAAATCCAGGCTGAAGATGTCTCAGATGGAGATGAGGAACTTGTTGGGAACTGGAGCAAAGGTGACTCTTATTATGTTTTAACAAAGAGACTGGAGGCATTTTTCCCCTGCCCTAGAGAACTGTGGAACTTTGAACTTGAGAAAGATGATTTGGGGTATCTGGCAGAAGAACTAAGCAGCAAAGCATTCAAGAGGTGATTTGGGTGCTGTTAAAGGCATTTAGTTTTTAAAGTGAAAAAGAGCATACACGTTGGGAAAATTTGCAGCCTGACAATGTAGTAGAAAAGAAAATTCCATTTTCTGAGGAGAAATTCAACCCAGCTGCAGAAACTTACATAAGTAACGAGGAGCCAAATTAATCCCCAAGATAATGGGGAAAATGTCTCCAGGGTATGTCAGAGGTCTTCATGGCAGCCCTTCCCATCACAGGTCTGAAGGTCTAGGGAAAAAAAAAAAAATGGTTCAGTAGGCCAAGCCCAGGGTGTCTGTGCTGTGTGTAGCCTAGGGACTTCGTGTCCTGTGTTCCAGCCACTCCAGCCA